ATTGTATTGTTGCAGAACAAATGTAGACAATACAAATCGAACATTATAACATTAAAGAAGTGATATAGTGTCAAGTGTTTTACAACGCCTCAAATCAGACAAAAAAAGAACTTTAAAGTGTATGTTACCATCGTTTACACTTTTATTCTGATAAATGCTTCATCTGGCAACCAGCACAATGAAATTGCAAAGGAATATGTCAAGTATAATCTAACATAACCTTAAACGAAACTGCGGTGAGTTCAAGTAATACGTAAAGTATTAGTTTGGTCTTTGTCGAATTACACGTTACAAAGAAAGGAGGAACGATTGCTTCTGAATTCGCCCCTGAATAGAAATAAAGAAATATGACGCAAACCCGTAACAAACTTCACTTTTTCACCTGCTTGCCACAGGCTGCGCGCGCCGATTCAGGTATTACGAGACAGGTCAATTGGAATTGCATCTGCGAGCAAAATTTTACAGATGTCACGTGAAAAAAGATAAGTGGTGGATAAGTGATCACGTGACGTCTGTCAAAATTCCCTCTTTTTGCTCGCAGATGCAATTACCCCAATTACCGAACCCAACCACCGACTCAGCTCTCGGTGATGTAAGTGAGGTGCACTTATAACATGGAGACAATAGTGAACAAAACAAGTAAGACACACAATAGGGTATCAGAAGTTAATGAAAGAAGTAACACTTAGGAAGGCAAGGTATACCTGAATGGGTTCCTTCCGTGCAATCTGACAAAGGAAATTATCAATAAGTATTTCTCCAAAACTGGCCGTCATCGATAGGTAGACAAAGGAAACAATTTAAAAAATTTAAATGTTTATCGGAATTCGGATCTAAGCCGGAAACAGAAGGGAGGAAACACCTAGTTAAACTGAAAGATCAAAAGGGAAAAGAAAAAGAAAAGTGACGTTGTGAAATACAGGGTTATTGGTTATAAATGTCACACATCTTTTTTATTTGAAATATTAGAAAGAGGTGTCTCAAATAAAAGTTTTATGGTTTTTAACAATTTTTAAAAAAAAAACTTACTTTAGCATATAAAGGATGCTTCAGAAAAGCTGGTCGTGGTTTAACTTGCAACTTTCTTATTTTAAATGGAATACCCTGTATATTAGTATATTATTGAGTATTCGGATTCTACATAAAATCAAAGCATGAGTATACAAAAACCATCAGCAGGCTAACTCGAGATTTGTAGCCTCAAATTGCGGCATACGCAGAAGAGATACGCGTTAAATCATGTGATTCTGCCGTAGCCGTGATAGGCTGTATTCTCGAATGGCAGCTTGCGCAGAAGAGATGTGCGTGAGAGTTAACCTGCAGTTTGTTTTAGTATATGATATGCTGTGGTGAAATTCTTAGCAGATCTCATGTGATATCTATACCCTATACTCATTCCTATACCTAAGTTCAACTCTGTTTTGGAAATATTGATAGTTGAAAATTGACTTTTTTGCAACTTCGTTAGGCTGTAAGGAATTTTCAATCATGGATTAAATTCAAAGTTGGTGTCAAATGATTGCTCTAAAGTCTAAAATTAACCGTTAAGGTTTTATAGTCTGCCAAAGTTGCAAAAAAGTTATTTTTTTCTCGCCTTTGAATTGCCTTCTTTGCGCTTAGGGGGCGCCGAATCTCAGTCTCCCCCCCTAGGGATAGTTATATCGCTACGGCCCTGGCCAAACGTTATACTTCATTGTATTTAAATTGGTTGATTTCCACATTTTCCACCGTTATTTGTTTTGTTGTTGTTTTCTGTTGCAGCGAGTTGTAAATTTTGAAGTTATAATGGAAAACAAGATTCGCACATACTTACTTTTGCTACCATAAACATATCACAAATTACAGATTGTCGGATTGGCCTTTGGCATTTCCTTCTTCGGTCATAATTAATAGGTATATCGCTTTATTTATGTAATGCTGAGCTAATCATCGAATTTAAGCTAAGTAAACCAATTCTAATAATGATAAAATTTAAAAAAAATAGAGAAAAACGTGGATAAATACAAATAACAGGTATTTATTATGTAGAGTTGGAGCTGCTGTTTTGTTCTTTTATCCCTGTTCTTCTCATTATAAGAAAAAAAGACGGAAAATGCTCCGAGCGCTCAGTGTTTCAAGACGAACTCACGATGATGGATGTTTGCTGACAGACATCATACTAGATGACGTCACGACCAGTACCAGCGCATTTTTTCCCGCTGGAAATAATTTGAATTTTTCCGCATTTTTAGTTCCTTATTGCGGCTGTTCGCGACAAAAGAAAATTGTTTTTTTCGCTGATATATGTTTTAACATATATATTCTTATGATTTATAGTAATATTTTCATGTTTAAATTTTTTGCCAAGTTCCCTATTATCATTAATTCCTATAATATATGGATAATCCTCTGGCATAATACCATTATTCATTTTTTAACTAATACCTATAGAAAATATAGGTACTCTGCAAATGCACGTCTTCCAGAATTTTTCTTGTATGAACAAAATTCGGACACCGACGCCACAGCATCTAGCAGTGTTTAAAGAGGCAATGTTGTCAACTTGCCGAAATATATTATTTAGAGAACTCTTAATTTCTATTGGGTGTATAAAAACACAAATTTGTGAGTTTTTTAACTCATAAAATAAGTAAATAAATAATTGAAGTATTTTTAGTTTTAGTTTTCTCCGAGGTTTTCTCTAAGTCTAGACGAATTAACAAGCGAACTAAAATACAGAAAGTTTGCAACATAAAAAACTAATAATACCTATTATATCTATACTACCTAATAAAGGCATTCATTTTAAACATTATGTGGATGTAAATGTGTCTGGGGTAAGTAACGCCCGACAAAGAAACTCTCCGTTGCGATATCGGGTGTTACATTCAAATTTGCGAACGTGAGCCAAATAGGTGTTACTTACCTCCATGCCTCCCGGACTATAATATGCATCCCTTCAAATTCACAAAAGTTCAACAGCTGAAACTGGATGATTACCCACGTCAAATTTGATATTAAGAGACACTTCTGACACACACTTATGAGTATCTAAACTTTCTAAAAAAAAATTAATATGGACCGATGAAGCTAAATTTTCTAGAGAAGGTATTTTTAATAGGAGAAATCAACACTTTTGGGTTAATCAGAATCCACATGCGGTCAAGGAAAAAAAGATCCCAAACCCCCAGTTGCAACCAAACAGGTGGTGACAGTATTTTTCCTATTACCTCACCCACACTTTATGCACTATTATTGCGAAGACGTTAAATTTCACTTCACGCACTAGTGCGTGAAGTATTTGTCTAAATTTATTTTTCTCACATATTTTATCGATAATAGAAAAAATGTTGTATGCAATGAGTGTGTACAGTACCTTTTTTCACACACATGTGATTGTCGCACGTCACATTCGTGGAAAAAAGTCTATTTAACACACTTGTTACTGCTATTTGATAAGATATAATTTTTAAATAATCCAATTCATACAGAAACTTGCCTGTATTTCCGAAACCTTACTATTTAGGTATAGGAACATGATACATCATTTGTAAGGGATTTTAATTGCCTTCCATAATATTTCATAATATACAGGGTGTTCTATTTAAAAAAGTGCACTTTTCATCTTTTTTGTACCTGGCAGCACAATTACTAATTTTGACCAACCCTGTATAATGTTGAACAAATTTTCTTACTCAAAAGTAATATGCAGGACCTCCCTAAGTTATCTCCAAAATTTAAACTTTCTACGAATCTCAGGGACGTAGTAATACAAATTTAAGTAGAGCAATGTTTTGAAGAAAAAATAAAGAAATTAATTAATAAGTCGAATATCACTAGAGATAGGTATAGGACAGTATTATACAAAAATGATCAGAAAGTGATAGCGGAGCGGAAAATGCAATAATATACAGGGTGTCTCATTTAAAATTTCAAAGTTTATATTACTTTTTGGTATAAGCGGCAACGTCGCATCGTTGAAATTATTTCAGAAAGATAGATCAGGAGCAATTACTTGGGCATGCAAATTTTCAAAAATATCCAACATTCCGTTTTCCATAAACGTCTAACCTACCATCGACCATCAATCACCCTGTATATATCGCTTTCTATAATCATCTTCCTGCAACTATCAGAATCTGAAGTTTTAAATATCTCCATATAAAATTATAACCTCCCTGCTTCTATTACAGTTTTGAAAAATGTGAAAAGCTATAGGCTATCAGCAACAAATAGTCCAATGAAAAAAATTTGTTTTCAAAAACTTTCAAATGGTTTTCACGCTAGCGAGACTCTGTAACGGATAGAGATCGTTATCCCTCTGGCTACGGCAATTGCTGTCTTCATCTCTCCTTTCGAAATCAATAGAGAGGGGACGTCAATAGAGTTAGAGAAAATACCTCTATTCGTTGAAGAGTTCCAGGGTTGCACAATCCCTATATTCTTGAAAAAAAAAATATTCATGCTAGCTTGATTTTAAGTGGGCACTGCTATTTGCTAGGAATTTTCGGCATCAAAAAAAAATTGAAAATATGGTAACTAATTAGCAACAAAAAGTCCAGTAGAATTTTGTTTGTTTTTGAAAAATTTGAAACATTGTTATGCTAGCTTGATATTAAGAGATTCCAATATAGACACTTGAATTTGACACACACTTCAAATAACTTCTTGGCTTCCATTATTTAAAACCTTGCAAATGAATCAAATTTGAGAAAATAATTAGTAATTTGGCAAACATGCAACTAACACATCGCCAAAGTTTGGAGTTAAATTGACAATAATAAATAGAAATAGTTTTTGTCAAAATATACAGGGTGCTCTATTTGAAAAACAAGTTGGCTTTTGACCTGGGTATATTATATAATATTTTAGGAAAATTCGAGTCTTCAAACCAACCAACTTTTGTATCTATTTACTATTTGTTTCTACCTGTAATACCCAGAAATATATATTTGATAATTACACACAAGAAGTAGACTCTCTAAATTATTTACAAAAATATATTTGGTTATTGTACTTACTGGATCAACATTGTATGCAATATGACGTTTGGCTCTGGGTTTAAATTCTATTTTTTCGTCATATAAAGCTATTTTGGGCCCAGCTCCAAGAAACTGAAGTCGTTTTAGTTCATTACTTTTATCTTTATTACCACCATCCGTATCATCACCCTTATTCTTAGCTTCTTCACATATTTGTTCTTTGATTTCAAGTTCTATCTGTTAAAATATAAATAGTAAATAAACAAAATCAATTAGTAGAACATAAAATCATACTTCAGTCTTATCACTTTCAGTGGTCTTAAATCTTTTAGGTCTTCTAGAATTATTAACTGATGGGGGCTTCACCGCCATGCGATTGACAATGCCATGCGGTTTATAGTCTTTATCTGTAGGTATTTCATGCCGCCTCCCCTCATTGATTTCAATGGTCTAGGAACGAATGATTATTATTGTTAGAAAATTTCTGGAGGCCAAATAAAGTTACTTACTATAGGAACCTTTTTTCCTTCTTTAGAAACATCAAATGGATATATTAACCTTTCATAATGCTGCTTCAGAATTGGTCCAACATTCTGGCCAATTTGGTAACCCAAATGAATTGATACTTTGGTCCATTTCCTTTGTTTAGTAACTTCATTAAAACCACCTTCACGTTTTACTATTCTATGTAATGTGTATAAATCAAGACCTTTTTTTTCTACCATAGGAATTTTCAGAGATGATCCTTGCAACTCCCAAAATTTAGCTATTTGATCGAGAAAATTCAATTTTACCCGTGTCGTTGCCTGAAATAGAAAAAGTCATTGATAAATAGGTAATTTAGTGTGGAATTTTTACTAATGGAAATTTAAGCCCTCAAAATTTGGAACAAATAATAACGACAGCAATTATATATTATATATTCTAATTAAACGGATTGGTTCAGTACATAGATACATTCAGGTTAAAAACAATAATAATACTCAATGGAACAAAAGGAGTTTATATTTCGTGCAATATTTTCTAATTAAATTTCAGTGCAAAGCGCTTTCGGCCTTAGGAGACCATCACCAGTGCCACCACTGCTACCTGAAAGTAGGAAAAAAACTTGTAGCTTTCAAAAAAATGATGAATTAATGATCTCTGAGATAAGACTTAAAAAGTTTTTACTTACTAGGTCAGGTTTATAAAAGAGCCAGCTTGATAAAAAGTAAAGGAAAATAAGGATAAGACCATATTTTACAAAGTTCACAAACGAGGTTCAACAGTTATATCCTCGGTTATATCACAAATCAAATAAAAGTTATCTGTTCTCGAACACTTTAAATTAACATTTTTTGGATACACTTGGCGTTGAAGTCATCAAATTTTTTTTAAAATTTGGTAACCTTTCAAGTTGAAGTCAACCATGATTCTTCATCATTAAATACTGCCGAATACCCGGCGTGTGTTACTACGATTTAAAAATTTTCTGCATACAGTTTTTCATATATGGATCGATTTGGTTCCAGGTGGGACACCCTGTATATAGATGGTTGAAACCTGAAAATGTGTAAATTTTTTTGTTAGTTCCCTTTTAGATTGACTTGAGTATTGAGACAAAAGCTATTTGTCCAGCAGCTCTTTTTGGATTGCTATTCCATTAAGTCCAGGCGGTTAAAGTTCTTGGAAGTGGTGTAGAATATGGGAGTTGGAACGCGGGCTGAAGTTATGTTTGGACGCTTCAGGATCTCCGAAAGCTCAGGAGGTTCTGCTCATAATATGTTCTCTTATACGAGTCTCAAGAGGTCTACTGTGGCCAATGTACATACGTGTTGTGACAGAAGTTGCAACTTAGTTTGTAAATGCGATTTTGCCGCGGATTTTGCGTATTGAGTATATTTTCTTTTGTTTTATTGACCCGGCGGGGCCGCCCTAATTTTTTAAACGAGACAAAACTACTACCTATGGACAGCCTTAAGCACAAACAGTATACTACAGAACGTTCAGACAGAAACCGCAGAGGCGGAGGCGTGGCCTGCGTGATCCACAAGTCAGTTAACTATAAACGCATAACCACTCTAACATAGAGCATATCACTCTAGAGATAGATAACAACTTGTGGATCTCGGGAGGCTACCCCCCCCCCACCCGAAGCAATACGAACCGCCCACGACATTAAGGTCTTTTTTCCCAAAAATGGGAGAGCACTACTTCTCGGGGACATTAATGCCAGGCACACGACGTGGCTTAACCACTCAAACAACATGACAGGTCGACTACTTTTCAAGTTTTTAAATGACAACCCAGACATTTCACTACACTACCCAAATAACCCTACACACTACCCGCTTAACGGGCTGAACCCCTCCACGATTGATATCGCTCTCTCGAAGGGATTCAGAGACTTGACTCTTAAAACAAAAAACATTCTGAACTCGGACCACATACCGTGTACTGGAAAAACCCTGCAGTGTAGGAACCGCAAAAACTACACAACTACAAAAACTTCAACTAGACACTCTACAAGCAACTTTTGAACAACATCATTACAATCACCACCCCAACTTGAGCGGCCAGTAGCACTAATTACACAAAACATTACGCAAATCAGAGATCAGCTAGCTCCAAAAATCACACCCAAATCAAGAACGGACATCATCCCAGACTCCGTTGTTGAGCTCATCAAGGAGAGGAATAGAGTCAAGCGTGCACCGCAAAGGCGCCCAAACTTACTGGACAAACAATTACTTAACCTACTCAGCCGGGAGATAGAGAGGGGCATACGTCATCACAGCAACACGTCCTGGATGAGGTATGTCTCCTCCCTGGAGACCCAAGACAACTTCCTGTGGAAACTGGCTAAAAATCTTCGAAGATAGGGCACGACACAGTCGAACCTGATAGTCGATGGCGTCAGGGAACAGGACAAAGCGAACATATTCGCTGACCACTTCGGTAGGGTGTACAGCAAAACACCCGACGCAACAAGAACACACACACACACATCAACGACATAGCCGACACCTTTGTCGTGCGCAAATATCCTATCCCTCCGGAAGATCACCAATGGTTGCTGCCAACGCCTACCAAGCTAGCTGACGAACTGAAAAAACTCAAAAACAGAGAAGCACCCGGACCTGACACAATCACAAACCAACTGATCAAGAACCTTCTACGAAAGACTATTATGCATCTCCTGCAAATCGTCAACGCAGTCTTAACCCTACAGCACTTTCCATAACCCTGGACGCAGGGGAGCATAATAGTCTTCCCAAAATCCGGCAAAGACTTATCCCAACCACAGTCCTTCAGACCAATTTCGTTGCTAAATTCCTCAGGTAAAATCGCTGAAAAAATCATCTCCCGTAGACTTTCCGCGTCAATTGACTCCCTGAAATGCCTCCCCAACGAACAATACAGTTTCCGCCCTCAGCACAACACGACTCTAGCAGTAGCGAGGGTAGCTCAAGACGCCTCAATAGCGTTCAACAACCGAGAAAGCACCTTCCTACTGCTACTCGACATAGAGAAGGCTTTTGAGAAAGTATGGCACAAGGGCCTTCTCTACAAACTACTGACAGTACACAACTCATCTCTCCATCTAATTTCTCTTATTGCCTCTTACCATTGCGACAGAACATTCAATATTAAATTCCAAAGCTCTCTATCCCCAACCAAATCGATTCGGGCCGAAGTGCTCCAGGGCACCGTCCTCTCCCCCACCCTGTTTAACTATATATTTATATATGTTACTGTAAATGCCCGAAATTCGGTAAAACCTAGGATAAGCGCGCTAAACCTAGGATTTACCAAAAGCAAGTGGTAGAAGCCCGAAAACTAGTTATTTTGCTTTCATTTTGGACTTTTACCGGACACAAACAGTAAATCTTAGGATTTACCACACCGCATTAGTAAAAGTACGAATGACACTGATACGTTACAGAAATCGATATCGTGAAACGATAATCGTCAAGAAAATTTCTGTCCTGGAGATGTTCCATCTCAGGAAATTAGGGTAAGAAGTGCAGTGCGAAAATTGTCGTTATGTAGTGGCCAAGGATTTAAGAAATGCAATTGCAATCGAAAATGTTCCACCAAAAGATGTTTGTGCAGATCCTCTAAATTACTCTGCAATTTTCAATACCATGGAAGTTTGCCCTGTATTTTTTATTTATTTTTTTTATTTCATATTATAACATACCTTGTTCCAATTGACTTTGGAAAAACCATACTTAATTTTCCAAAGTCAATTGGAACAAGGTGAACATAAATCATAACTGGTGGCTGACTAGTAGCAGTGCATTTCTTATGGAAATTTTCAGTGACCAGTCAGCTATCAGTTGGTACCTTGTTCCAATTGAGTTTGGAAATACTATGCCTACTTTCTGCAATATTAAGTACCTGAATTAATGTAACTATGATTTCTGTTTACATTGAAGAATATTAAAATAAAAAGTATTTTGGTGTGACTTTTTGTTTCATTTATAAAGTACCTATCTTATTTTTAGGCATTGAAATTTTAACGATTATCGATTCACGATATCGATTTCTGTGACGTAGGTAGGTATCAATGGTATTCGTACTTTTACCAATGCGGTGCCTAAGATTTACTGTTCGTGTTCGGTAAAAGTCCGAAATGAAAGCAAAATAACTAGTTTTCGGGCTTTTACCACTTGCTTTTGGTTAATCCTAGGTTTAGCGCGCTTATCCTAGGTTTTACCGAATTTCGGGCATTTACAGTAACATATATATATCGCCGACATACCCAAAACAAATGACACTAAAGTCATGATGAATGCCGACGATATTGCAATATACACCAGTGCCTTTCTAGCAGAAGACGCGAGAAGGGCGCTGGAACGACACATCGACCTCATAACTCCCTACCTACAGACCTGGAAAATCACCCTCAACACCCCCAAAACAGAACTCCTAACGCTTACCAGGAAGCGCACAAACATCATCATGAACCCCCCTCTGACGATTAACAACGTTATAATCGAACCCAAAACCACCGCCAAGTACCTGCTGGAAATAGTCCTTGATTAGACCCTCAAGGGCCACCCCCAGGTAGCACACACCCTCAGAAAGGCACATATCGCCGAGCGTCTTCTGTCTCTCATCATGAAGAACAATTCCTTTCTGAGCCCAAAAAACAAAATCAGCGTCTACAAGAGAATAATACGCCCAACTTTACTCTACGGAGCACCTGCTTGGAGCTACATATCCAACACCAACAAGAAAAAGCTCCAAGTATTCCAAAATAAAATCCTCAAGAACGCCCTCTTACTACTGCCAATGGACGCCCAAACGGCTGAAGTGCATCGACTTGCTGGTATAAACACCATCCTCGAATACTTCAATGAAGTCTCACTGAAATTCTTCAGTCCTTCAGCTTACTGACCCACCCTAACAAGAAACCTCGCCACCCTCAAGTTCGACCCACACAACCCGTTAAACACCGACCAATTCACCATAGATTGCCAATATATTTCGAGCCGCCTTGAAGCGACGAGCGAATGTAATTAAATTAAGAACTTTTCATTAGAATAGTTCACTAGGACTAGCAATACAATTGGATCGCCGGGGTACCACCCACGGCACGCCCACCTAATTTAATTACAAACGCTCTGCTCAGAAATTGGCGCAAGCTATAAGTTTTAAAACCAAAGAAACGTGGAGAAGGGTTTTTTAAATTTTCCCTTCATAAATATCTTGGCAACTATCGAATGACAACTGGACACTTAAATACTACAACACGAATTATAGTCGAAACTGTGAATAGGCCTTATAAGGAGCATCATTGCGTGCCCCAGTAAAGCGC